AAATATTTTGTAAATTAAAAAAAAATAAATATATTTATAAAAATAAAAATATTTTAAGTACTTATAATAATTTAAAGAATAAAAATATTTATATTAAAAGAAAAAATATTTTTAAATATAAAATTAGTATAAATAATAATAATTAAATAATTAATAATATTAATAGTATAAATTTCATTTAAACTATATTAAATTTATTTAAATTTTATAAAATTATAAGATAAATAAATTTCATTTATATAAAATTATAAGATAAATAAATTTCATTTATATAAAATAAAATAAGTTATAATTTAGCCGATCCGTTCATCGGTTATAAAAAAAATTATAATTTAAAATAAAACATAAATAAAGAGATTTATTTTAGATAAAATCTTTAAATTGATTTAAGATATAATCTTTATTTAATTAAAATTATTATAAAGTTTACTTATATAAAATATATAAGTTTATATAAAAAAATTTATATAAAAGAATTAAAATAATATATAAAGCCAAATAAAATTATAAGAATTAATTCTTTTTTATAAAATGTTAAAAAAATAAGATAAATTTATACCTATATTATATATATATAACTAATATATATTTTAAATACCAAATATATTAAAAACCTAAAATAGATTTCCATAAATATAGACTATTATTAAAGAATATAAGGCTAAATTTATACTAATAATAAGCATAAAATAATAATAATATTTTATATATTTATTATATACTTTATTAAAATTAATAATTTTATTTATAAAAATTATTTTATTAAAATTTTTAGATTCAATATATGGAAATAGAAATTCATTCATTAAATAATTATTTATTATATTTATAATAAATAATAAACTAAGACACAAACAAATTATACTATAAATAATTAATTTTTTCTTCATCTGAAGGAGCTATATTAAGTATATAATCAAAACTTTTTTTTTTAATTCTAGAAAATCCCCCAAAATAAAATTTTCATTAAAATCTGAAGGATTTAAAATACTTTTGATATCAGAAGAACTAGGTGGTCTTTCTGTATTTTGTAAATCTGCTATAGAATTCCTTATATTTTCAGATATTATTTTTTTGAGGTTAAGACTCCTATTCCATAACCAACACCCCCCAAATAATGTTCCTGATGTAATAGCTAGAACCTTACCAGGATTAGATGGAGTTTAACTCACTATATAAAATCCAGTAGCTTCTGATGAAAGAAAAATTCCATCGGCTATAAAAAAAAGAATTATAACCAAGGTGTAATTAATGATAATCGACTTACATCTTTTAGTACATAAGTAGGTAAAATATAAGTAGATAAAAAATAAGATAATAATAAAATAATTAAATAACCATAAGATATTTGATTTATAAAACTAAATGGTATTAATTGAGGCATTAAAATAAATAAATTATATTATATATCTAAAAATAAATTAAATATTTATAACCTTATTTAAATATTTAATTTATATAAGGAAAGTATAAAGAAAAAAAAAGAAAATTAATGTAAACTAATTGAATCTTTAATATAAATAGAAGTTAATACACACCAAACATAAGCTTGTAAAATAGCAACAGCTATTTCTAATCCCATTAATAAAATTAAAAATACAATAGGTATAATAGATAAAATAGCAAAAATTATATTAATAGATAAAATTTGTAAAGTTAAACTACTTATTACATTTAATAATATATGACCTGATGTTATGTTTGCACCTAATCTAATACCTAAACTAAAAGCTCTAGCTATATAAGATAATAATTCAATAGCTACTAATAAAGGAACTAATCCTAATGGTGTACCTGAAGGTAATAATACTGAAAAATAAGATAATTTATATTTTTCAAATCCAATAATAGTTAAACCAATTATTAACATTATACTTAAACTTAAAGTTAAAGCAAAATGAGCTGTAGGAGAAAATCCATAAGGAACTAAACCTACAAAATTAGTTATTAGTATAAAATAAAATAAAGTTAATATAAATGGTAAATATATTTCATTTTTTTTACCTATTTGAACTCTTACTAATCCTAATATTGATTTATATATTGATTCTGTTAAAATAGTAATTCTATTTCCTATTATATTATTTTCTTTTATTGATATTATTAATAAACAATATATTAATACTGCAGATATTATCATATAAAATCCTGAATTTGTAATATATAAAATTAAAAAAGGTGTATTTAAAGCTATATAACAATTTATAATAAATTGCTCTAAAGGATTATAAAAAATCATTTATTTTATATAGGATTATTTATATAGTTTATATTTAGTTATAATCATTTAAATTTTCTTATTTTTTATAAAACTATTTTTTAAATTTATTTTATATAAAATTATATATAATATTTAATCAATTATTATATATAATTTTATTTATATTTACTTTCTTAATTTTATGGTATTTATAATCTATAATCACATAGAGGTAATTTATATTATAAATTTTTGATTTAAATATGGAAAAATTAAAATATCCTTATAATTTTCCTAATATAAATAACTTATCTTATGTAGGTAAAAACCTGATATAAAATATTTTACTAATATAAATCAGTCAGAATATGACATGATTAAAACAGAAAATTGGAGTTTAAAAGAAGAAACTATAAGATATTTGACTAATGATATTAATGGGTTATATACTGTGTTAAAATTATTTGATATGAAAAATTCTCATTTATATAGTATAAATATAATAAATTGCTCTACAATATCCAATTTAGCGTCTAAATATATTTTTTAAAATATTATGATGAAGAAAATTTATATAAAATGAATAAAAATTTATATAAATTAATTAAAAATTCTTATTATGGTGGTATGGTTGAATGTTATAAACCATCAGCATCCAAATTATTCCATTATGACGTGAATAGTCTTTATCCTTATGTTATGAGTAAATATCCAATGCCAGTAGGTATACCTAAATTAAGTACAGAAAAAGATATAAATAAAATATTTGGATTTGTTTTAGTTAAAGTCTACGTACCTGATAATATAAAACATCCTATTTTACCTAGAAAAAATGATAATAATATTTTAGAATTGAACACAGGACAATGGATAGATTGGTATTTCTCAGAAGAAATAAAAAATGCAATAAAATATGGCTATAAATTTGAAATTATTGAAGCAATTGAATATGAAAAAATTAAAAAATATATTTAAAGCATACATAGATAGATTTTATGAAATTAAAAAATCTACTAATGATCCTTCTGAAAAATATATTGCGAAATTGTAAATGAATAGTCTATATGGTCGATTTGGTTTAAATATAGTTGATAAAAATTCAATTGAAATTGTAGATGATGATATATATAATAAATTAATCGAAAATAATTTATTAGATATTACTCATTCTAGTAGTATGAAAGATCATTTATTAATGAATTATATATCTCGTGAAAAATTTAGTTTATCACCTAATGCTTCAGTTGCTATTGGATCCGCTATTCCCGCATATGGTAGAATAGAAATGACTAATCATATGAATTCAAGTAATTATGAGTTATATTATATGGATACTGACTCGATTGTTATCGATAAAATATTACCAGATGAATTACTAGGTAATGAAATAGGTCAAATGAAATTAGAAAATATTGTAAAAGAAGGTTATACTCTAATTTTTATATTCTATATATTTCGTATAACATTAATATTATACCTTCATAATTAATCTTATATAAACCGTACTAATATCTACTATGTTTATCATATTTAATATATAGTATTTCTTTACTATTATATACCATTATATACCGTACCGAAGGTACCATAGTATTATATATTATATACTTATATTTTATACTTATTACTATAAATACATATAACTCTAATATAACCGTTAGCTGATGCTAACAGATTTGTATTACTTATACCATTATCTAAATTAATTTTATCTAAACCACCGAGAAGGTTTAAATAGATAATGCAGAAAAGCAATATAATTTATAGTACTATAATACTACGCTAATTATTATACTTAATATATAATTATCTTTGTAAGTAGAATAATTATTTTATAAAAGTTAAAATAATTATTTAATATGATAGAATTAAATACTATTATATTTTACCCTATATAATTTTTACCCCCCTTATATAATTGTTATCTATTCTTTAACAACACTTTTATACCGTATATAATTAAATTATAATATGATATATTGTTGATATTAAATTATATTATATATCTACTATATTTCATATTTAGAATATTCTTATACTATATAAAATTTAAATTTCTTGATTTTAATGCTATACGGTTAGTATTTTATGATATATGGTAATATAATTTTATATTATAAAGTCTTAGTATAATCTATATTTAAATATTTTAATATCTTAGTATTTATATATGATTAATTAAATACTGTTATTCAATACCGTATTTTATAAAATACGTGTTATTACCCAAAATATTTTAAAAACTTTTATATAATTTTTTTATATTATTAATTTTTTAATAATAATTTTTATTTTTATTTTAGCCGAATTAGCTTAATTGGTAAAGCAGTAATCTTATAAATTATCTTTTATGGGTTCAAATTCCGTATCCGGCTTAAGTTTGTCGATTTTTTTTTTAATCAGAAAATAAGTCGGAATCAATTAAAATCTAAATACCAGTAATTTTTAAAAGATTTATTCATAATAATAAACAGTTTACGAAATATAACGTAAATTAACCTAAAAAAAAGTTTTTAAAATAAAAATATATATAAATAATTTAAAATTGAAAAACAAACTAAAATAAAATTAAAGTAGATTAAAAAAAAGTAAGATATTTAAAATAAAAGTAAAAGAAAAAAGAATTAAATAAAAAATGAAAAATATTTTAATAGAGACTGATTTTCATAGTTTTACTTTGATAAACGGATCCGTTTATCAAAATGCACTAACAGTTTTTACTAAAAACAAAATTAATAATAATTTAATAATCATCATTTATGAATTACTAGATGGTAAACTTATATCAATAGATAATATCTAGATTTAACGTAATTCAAATAAATTTAAAGCTTTTTTAGGCAAGAATTATGTAGAATTAGCAAATAATAATTTTGAGTTACGTTCTTTTATTAATAAGATTCAGAGCATGTAATATAAGAACTATAAAAAATTTTTTAATAAACTTTTGTTATATATTTATTACTTATATAACTTATTTATATATCTCTTTTTTATTATTATCAATATATTATATTATTTAATTATCTAATTATTAAAATTTGATATTTTATACTTCTTTTTTATTGTTTTACTTTTTTTTAAATCTGTTTTTCTTTCTCACATTTTACTTATTCTATTTTTATATATATCGTTATCCTTTTCTATTTATCTTTTTTATTTTATTTTTTACCTTTTAAATATTACTTATTTTCTATATTATTATACTTATATTTTATATATATTATATATTTATGCCTTTTTTATCTATATTATTTTTATATCTGTATCATTATTTATATTCTTTTATATATATATTAATGTTTTTTTTACATGCTATAATTTATATACATTGATTTATATATTTTTATTATATCTATTTTTTATAAATAAAGCTCTTTTATTATTCATTTTGTTATTCACCATTCCGGCCTCTTATCTTAGAGGCCCAACGAATGGTGATAAATCAATTACCACTTATTTGTTAACACATTATTATTTTAACTTTAAAATAACTTTAATTTAAAAAATTTCTTTTTTTTTATATAAGAATATATTTTTTATATTCAATATTATCAATATCTACTTCTTATTCATATTGATAAATTTATTACAGACGAATTCAAAAATTAAAAGTTTTATCATTAAATACAATATTCAATTATTTTATACATAATTAAATAATAAAGAATATAATATAATTAATTATTATTCTAAATGTATATTCAGTTAGAATAATATATGTAAGTATATCATCTTAATAATATATAGTAATAATAATTCTTATACAATTATATATCCTGTAACAATTATTAATTACATTTATTTATATAAAATGTGTTATAATAATATATAGTGTAACAATAGTTAATCATATAATAATTATTTATCTAAATACAATAGATAATCGTTTATTATATATAATAAACGTAGAAATACAACGTTAATCATATAAAAGTAATATAATTATATATATATAATTGTTATATAATAGTTAAACAATATTAAATAATATTAATTATAATTAATATTAATTTTTACACAATAGTTAATTACATTTCTTATTATTTATGTATATTCTATAACAATTGTTAATTTTTCTATATTTATATATTTTAGTATTTAATAATAATTAATTATATACGTAAGTTAATTAAAGTTATATAAAAGTATTATTATTTATTATAATTGCTAATTCTATGATAATACCAAAATTTTATATAAAATTTTGGTATTATTTATAGTTAAACAAGTAACACTTATATAATAATTGAAAAGTATAATAAAAGTATTATATATAATTTATCGTGATACAATTGTAAATTCTAAACGATTGTAAACTAATTATAATTATTATTTACAATAATAATTAAAGTATTAAATTGAAATACGTTATATATTATTTATGTACATAAACGTATATTTATAAATTATTATAATAGAACATATTTCATTATATGTGATCATAAAACAATAATATAATAATCAAATTTTAACATTTATATTTTTACTACAATTATAACTGTATTAAGTATAATAATAATTCTTATTATTAATAATTCTTACACAATTATTAATTTTTTTATAATTTATAATAATGGTAAAAATATAATCCTAAATTGGATACTTTTATAATATCTATCATTATTCAAATATAATATCTATATAAGTAGTAATTAAATAATAAAGTTATAATTAAAAATGAAAATATATATAATAAAGATATATAAGGATAAATATATAAAAAATATGAAAAAATAATATATAAAATAGATAAGAATATTAAAATAATTAATAAATATTAAAAATAATATTAATATATATAATATATGAATGTATGGATAAAATATTTGTATTTATATAATTCATATATTATATATTATACTATATACTATTGTTTTACAATTAATAATTATACTATGATTATACAATTTCTTATTATTATACGATATATGATTATATAATAATATTGTTAACTGAAAAATAAAAAAAATTTAAATTTTTTTTATATCCAGTCCTATATTAAAAAAATTGTTTGTATTACCTTTAAATAAGAAACATTCATTATTTATATAACACTAAGTTATTAATTAAATATAATAAGAAATAATTAATAATAAAATCTAAATATTATAAGAATTTCTACTTATATAATAATTTAGTAACTAACCTTTAAAAGAATACTTCTTATACACTTATTATCTATCTAATCTTTTAAATTATAACATTAATTATTAAATATACACTTAGTTATTTATTAAAAGTAGAGGGGCACTAGTATGGTGAAAAACTTGGTTCTCATTATTGAAAATAATTATAAAAATTAATAATTCTTACTGTAATACTTAATTTTAATTTTAAATTTATATAAAATTTTAATACTAATATTATTAATTCTAACTTATACTATTATTCTATTACTAATGTATTAAATAATCTTTCTTATACACTTATTATCTCTATTACCTTTTAAATTATAACATTTATTCTGCCTTAAACACTTAGTCATTTATTAAATATAATAATAAAAAGAATAAAATGATTCAGCTTTATACAAATAGATAATTAATAAATCATTAAAATTATTAATAAATTAAATTTATTATATTTTACCGTCTATTATACAAGAATTTTATTACTTATTTTTAAATAATTAAGAATTAATCTATTTTATACACTTAGTTATTTATTAAATATATAAGATTAATTGTATCTAAAACAATTAGTTATTAATTTTATAAAATAAGATAAATTAAATAATATTTGCATTTTATTAAAATGCAAATATTATTTTTTTCAACTTATACAATTATTAAGTGTATTACCTTTAAATAATCCTTATTATACATTTATTCTATTACTAATGTTTAAAATTATAAACATAAATTCTAGCTGCTCCGTGGCCCATCGGTTAATACATTTAATTATTAAATTTTTTTTTTTAATTTTATAATAATAGAATATAGATCGTTTGGTTTTTTATTTTCAAAAGAACTTATTAAATTTACAAAATTAGCTAAATTATAATTTTGACTTAAAAGTGATAAATGTTGTATACAATTACATGTAGCATATAATTGTATAGGTAAATGTGTTATAAATTCATTTTTATTTTGTAAATATTTTTTATATTCAAAACAAAATGCTATAAATAATAATGGATTTTTAGCTTTTTTTATAAAATCTATTTTCATTTCTTCTATTTTATTTTCATTTTTATTTACCCATTCAATTCTATTTTTATAAGATTCTTTATCAAATCCATAACAATTAGCACCATAAATTTTTAACCATTTAATAGAATTATTATAATTATCAATAAATTTTGATTGATCTTTTTTATTTTGTTCTAATAATATTAATTTATTATTTTTATATTTTTCCCAAAGAGTATTATCATCAATAATACTTTTTTTATTTATTTTTATATTAATATTAGAATATTTTTTTAAATAATCTTCTTTTTTCATAATATTTACAGTTTTTATATATATATTACTAATTTTTGTTCCTTTTGAAAATTCTAATAAAGCTTTAGCTAAATCAACACTTTGATAAATTAAATATACAGGATTACAATATACTTTACCCCTCCAATCTAAAAATAAAGGAAAATAAATATTATCATTCTTATATAAATTTGCTATTGCTAATATATTTTGTTCTAAATAATATTTACTATTATGAGATAATATTTCTATTTTATTATTTTTTTTCTTATTAAAAGTATCAGGATGTAAATCACTTAATATTAATTCAAATTTTTTACCATTTTCTAATATATAATTTAATACATTTAAATTTATTCTAAAAGGTATTTTTTTGTGTATTATTTATAATACTTTTTATTTTATTGTTTACCTTACTTTTTAACATATTTGTATTACTTTCATGTATTAAATTATCAAAATAACATTGATTGTTTAATAAATAACCACCTTTATTATTATATGTCCAATTATTTGGTTCACATATCATTGGTAATTTAATACCTATTAAATCCATATTATTTAAAAAATATTTTTGTCCTATAGATGTTGGTACTATTATTATTTCTTGTTTATTATATTTTTTAATTAAATTTCTTTCAAACTAAATTTGTTATATTTAAAAATATATTTAATAAAAAATCACCTAATGCTGATACATTTATAATATTTAATTTATTTATTTCATTTTTATATTTATCAAATGAAAATTTATCTTTTTTTAATCCATTATCTTTCAAATATTTATAATATTCTTTTATTAAATAATAATTATAGACATTCAAACCTATTTTCATTATTAAGTTATCTTTTTTTATACCCTCTGGAGTATGCAAAATTACAACTATATTTCTTAATATTATGCTTGCCGTCTCATATTCTTTTAAATTATAAATAGGTTTTAAGGA